AAGCAATATTTTTGGATCTCCAGTTTTAGTCATGTATCCATGCTACTTGAAATCATTCATGTTTCTTCCCTTGAGAGCAAGCTGCAATAACACCCAGAAACCCGAGTGAAGCATCATTTGTGTGCTCCTTGTCATGAAATGTAAGAGGGATCCTGAATTTTGGACCAGATTGGAAGGTAGAAAAGACAGGACAAATTAGAGTTCCATGTTAATGCTGATACCAAACACCGGGTGTTTACAGACAAGAACAGTGGTTCCCAGCCTTCCTAATGCTGCAACTCTTTAATACAGTGCTTCAGGCTGTGGGGACCCCAAGCATAAAACTACTTCATTGCTACTTTACAACTGTTATTTTGGGTACTAATATGAATCGTAATGTAAATATCTGATATGGAGGATATCTGATCTTTGATCCACAAAAGGTTGAGACCCACAGGAAAAGAATGAACAGTGAGCATGTTAGCTTCCATGTGGCCACACAGGCACACAGGCACTTAACCAGACATAACTCTGTGCTGTCCTGATTGACTCATTCTGCAAAACATTATTTTCCCACATTGAATTCCCTGTGGATATAAGCAGAATGTTTGTGAGAATGTAAATCTATCTCTTACACTGAGAATTGTGAAGCAGTAAGACTCTCATCAAACACACAAGAATGACCATTAACGAGACAGCAGTCACACTTTCTAGAGTTAACTTAGAGAACGTTCTCCCCTATGGACATGTGTAGAACTCCAAGTACTTTTGTAGGCTGTGAGGGCAGAAATCCATCTCCCCTGTTTATCACTTCATCATGTCCTTTGTTCTACAGAGGGCTCATTATTTGAGATTACCCGCAAGGACTCTCACAGCCTGCCCGGAGCAATGATGAGAAATGCCCTCTCTCCCTTTCTGGTGGTTATGTGTACTTGCATTAGATTTTAATTCTAGAGACATTTTTTTTTTTTTAGCAATACTTCTAAAGTATTGTCTAAAATGGTGAAAAATAAGCCTTTCATGACCATCAAGAAACAAAATCATGTGCTCACACATGGTATACGTTTGATGTATTCTTTAGCCTAATATTGTTGCTCCTTTATAACTTCTGAGTCAGGGGTCATTGAGGTCATGTCAAACAACGGCCTTGGGTGGGTGCCCTAGGTTCCCAACAACCCCAGATGTCTCTCTGTAAAGGAGCCTGAATATCGCTGATGAGAAGAGCTAGCTTCAGTTTGGAGATTTGGTAAGGCAGCCCCAATTATCTCCTTGTAGATTCAGAGAACATGAAAGAATAGAATATTCAGGATTTCTAGTTCATTGGTTACATTGTTTATCACTTACCTCTTCTTAGTCATCTTTTACAACTTTTGAATAAAATATTAAAAATAATTTTAAACCCCTTACAGTAGGAGCAATAAAACCATTTAAAAATAAATCATCTTAGTATTATTTAGAAAATTTATTTGAACCATGATGTCAATGGTGTAAAATATTTTTGTCACTTGAGCATGAAAGATAACATGCTACTCTGTGGCTATTAATAGCCTAGTCATTACCTTAATTAGGTTAGTTTGAATCTTTTATTTTTTTCTTGGAGAAGGGTCTTGCTTTCTTATGAGTTTATTCAGATACACAGAAAACAATAAAAGGTAGGTAGATTTCTATGTCTGGTATTACCCTGTGCTGGATAGTTTTATGTTAACTTGACACAAGCTAAAGTTATCTGAGGGGAGGGAACTTCAATTAAGAAACTGTCTCTATTAGATTGGGCTGTAGGCAAGTCAATAAGACATTTTCTTCATTAGTGATTGATGGGGGAGGGCCCAGCCCTTTGTGACTAATTCCATCCCTGGACTGGTTGGTGGTCCTGGTTCTGTAAGAAAGCAGGCTGAACAAGCCATAAGAACAACCCAGTAGTTAGCACCCCTCTGTGACCTCTGCATCAGTTCCTGCCTCCAGATTCCTACCCTGTTGGAGTTCCTGTCCCGGCTTCCTTTGATGATAAACAGTGATACAAAAGTACAAGTTAGATAACCCCTTTCCTCCCTGTCTTAATCAATGTTCTATCGCAGTGACGAGACACCATGTCTGCGACACTTATGAAAGAGCACATTTAAGTGAGGCTTGCTTACAATTTCAGAATTTAATCCACTATCCTCATGGCAGATAAGCGTGGTGGCATGCAGGAAGACACGGTAGCTGACAATTCTACATCTGGATAGAAGGCAGAGGAGCCTGGGATTGGCTTGGCCTTTTGAAACCTCAAAGCCCTCTCCCAGTGACACACTTCCTCCAACAAGGCCACACCTCCTAATCCTTTCAAATAGTGACACTTTCTGGTGACCAAGAATCACCCAGGTGGTACTGGTCTTGAAGGCATGAAAAGTAACTGAGGTTTGGCACTCTGAGAGGCCAGGAGAGGTCACTGGTGAAGATGTAGCCTCAGTTGAAGGCCCAGGATTGAAAGGACCATGTAGTGAAGTTGAGGCTTGGCACCATGAAGACAGCCTATGAGAGGCTATTGGTGAAAGAGCAGCCCAGTTGCTACAGAAGACCCTAGAGTTTTGGAGATGCAAGTACCATGGGACGACCACCAAGAACAGCAACAGTTGCGGAGTGGAGACAACTGGCGCCTAGAAGACAAGCTATGAGTGGTGCAGAGAAGAGTCAGAGAGGTGACCCAAGACCTCTGGAGGAGTCCAGCACTGCGCATGAATCCCAGACATTGAACACTGGGTTTTCACTTTGATTTGATTGTAACTGTGTCCTGGCTCTTCCCTCTTGAAAAAAGCACTTACTTTTTATTTTACAGCAGTTCGCAGCTCGGACTTTGAATTTTAAAAGATGTTGGTTTTAAGAGACTGACCATTTTAAAGAGGCTGAACTTTTAAATGTTTAAACTCGAGGAGAGTGGGGATTTTTAGTTGTTTATATTTTTGATGTGAGATTTTGTGGATGAATGAGAAAAGAAGGGTTATGGCTTAACTGTGATGTGTTTGCCAGTCAAGTTGGCAAGGGGTCTATTGTACTGGATAGTTTTATGTCACTTGACACAAGCTGGTCATGTGGAAGGCTGGAGCCTCAATAGAGAAAATGCCTCCCTAAGATTGCACTGTAAGGAAGCCTGAAGGACGTTTTAAGTAGTGATTGATGAAGGGCCCAGCCTGTGGTGGATGGTGCTAGCCCTTGCTAGTGGTCCTAGATTCTATAAGTAGGCTGAGCAAGCCTTGAGAACAAGCCAGTAATCAGCGCCCTCCAGGGCCTCTGCATCTGCTCCTGCCTCCAGGTCCCTGCCTTGCTTGAGTTCCTATTTTGATTTACTCTGCTAACGAACAGTGATATGGAAGTGTAAGCCAAATAAACCCCTTCCTCCCCAAATTGCTTCTGGTCATGGTGTTTCATGGCAGCAATAGAAACCCCAACCTAGACATACCTACCAACAATTATTTTCTGAGTACTTAGTAGTACATATTAATTATGCAAAATGAATTTCATATTTTCATCCATGTATATAATGTATTTTCATCATGTTTAACCCCCTCCCACTGACCCACTTCCTCTTCCCCATTCTCTTCTACTTACTTGTCTTCTTTGGTGCCCCATGAGCTTAATTAAAGGGTTTTCTAGTTCAAGTTGTTGTTAATTGAATTCCTGATCCTACCTGCACCTCTCAAGTGCTGGGTTTCAGAAGGACTCCCTGAATCGGGTCCATATTGATATTCTTGTTTGTGCATCCATAAAATGGTGCTATTAACACCTCTCTAGGTTCTGAGATTAAAGACTATGTACTATGCCAATAACCACACCTGGGGTGATTTGTATGAGCAGATTCTATGGTGAGAGACAGGAGGTAAACACTGAGCTCCCTCAGAGATAACTTGTCAGCTTCCTAACATGATTAAGTTCAACAGCTGCACCTGACTTTTGAGATTAACACTAGCTTCACCAGCAAAACTGTTCATTGGCCAGTTTCCAGTTGGTTAAATGTGAAACTCAGGGTTAAAAACTCCACTTCAGGGACCGAGATGCTATACAGCCCTCTAGTTCAGTTCTGTGTTGCCACTGGGCAATTTAAGAATGTGACTTATAAACCAGGCGGTGGTGGCACACACCTTTAATACCAACTTAGGAGGCAGAGGCAGAGAAATCTCTGTGAGTTCAAGACCAGCCTGGTCTACAAGAGCTAACTAGGACAGGCTCTAAAGATACAGAGAAACCCTGTCTCAAAAAACAAAAACAGCACCACCAACAAAACCCAAACAAAAAAATAATGTGACTTCTACTTCATTATATTGACAATACAATAGGAAACATATATGACAGGTTGTAATTTTCTCTTGACAGGCAGAATCATTGTAAATCTTTTAATAAACTACTTTAGGATGCTGGTTCGTAAGAACCAATTCGGGAGCCAGTGAAATGATTCAGATAAAAGTATCCCCCAAGCTTGACTACCTGAGTTGAAGCCCCAGCACCCACATGGTGCAAGGAGAGAATCAACTCCACAAAGCTGTCCCGTGACTACTCCATGCTATGCCCCTCCCCCACACAAACAGAAGGTAGATTCATCAGATAGGCGTGGACTATTTCTGTGGCTACACACTTGCCTGGCATGCACAAGGTCCTGGGCTGGTTACATTTATAAGCAATTCCTTAAGGTAAAGATGGAAGCATTCTATGCTTCTAAAGCAGACACTGCTTTGCTTGCCCCAATTCTGTTCCAATTGTAGAGAACCAAAGCTCAAGCCTTTAGGGCTTACCAAATTTCCCAGGGCAGAAATAACTAAGTGTACCTTGAAAGGTATCTCTAAACTTAAACGGACATAATTGGCTTCCCATTCCTGACCTTACCTACTGGAGGTATCTTGCTTCTCTGAGAAATTCAACTACTTTGAATATTAAGTGCCTCCAAAAATAAAATGTAGTTACATAAGATAACATTTTCTCTTACGACCAGACTCTTGAGACAAAAGCATTCATTCAGACACCCTCCCACCCCAGCAAACTGAGTTTTGTGGTAAACTGTAAACATTTTATTTTATTATTGATGTAAGCATGTGATGTCAAAGTAATGGAGGTAATTTTACACACTCAGAATTTTCTAAGTACTTAAGCTTGTCACTGACCTTGAAATAAGCAAACAGTCTGAATGACTAATCTTTAAATGACTGGGATGAGAAGCAGGCCTCAGTCGATGACTTCAGTTGTCAATCTACACTGAGATATTTTGCTGAAATTCTGATACAGCAGTTATAAGTGTGAATCCAAATGCTGAGGACAGTACATGCACAAAAACTTCCCCAGCCTGTCTCATGGACTTAGCCTGACAGAAGCAAGACAAGTCTTTTTGTACTGGTTTACATGTAATTTCCACAGATGCTGCCTTAGACCTCTTACTAATGTACACGTCATCCTGACTCTGGTTGCATGTACTACGCTTTAGAGCCATCTAGGTCCGCAGGTGGAAGAACACACACATACTGGCATGGCAGTTGGCAAGAGCAGACTGGAAAAGCAAAGCCCGGATGTGCTGGTGCAGCCCTGTGGGAAATTCTCCTCCAGAAAGCAGATCAGAAAAGGCCTGCTAAGGGGAGCAGTAGAAGAGTCAAGCAGGCAGAAGTGAACGACTGTTCTTCCCCAGCTGCCCTTCCTTGTTTTAAAGGTAGACAGTATTACGAGAACTCAGTAGTCACACTTTTAACAATCACAGTCTAATGTTGCTCCGCTTCTTCTTGCTTCTTATTTTGACGTATTGTCCTCGCTGCCTGTGGTATCATGTTAGGGATCCCATCAATGATTGGATATGCTATTCCCAACTCTTCATTAATCAATTCATTTGTCGATGCTTCATATCTGAGGGAGAAAAAGAACACAATGAACTGTGAGAAATCAAAGGTCAGAGGAGCTTGATAATCAATAAATAGACCATCTATCCAATTCTTGATAGCTACTCCTCCAGCAGTTTTCGTCTTACAGGCACTAAGCCAACCCAACCATTTCTCTTAGAAAACCATGTTACAATCTGTAGTTGTTCCCACTAGAATCAGTAATTTCTCCTATTATCTTTTATAAACTTCATTCCCAAGTTATGCCTTAACATTTTCAGACTACTTAGAAAAGATGTCTACATCTTATGCCAGTATTCCTTCCTTGCTATGGTCAACCCCAAAACACTCCAAAAGGAAGAAACAAAAACTTCCTCTGTTGATGTAAATGCTAGGGAGACTTTTATGAGACAACAGAAAGACGTCACTGAGAATCAACACATACAAATAAAAGCCTGAACGGGGAGAGGGCACAAAGGAAGGAAGTCTAGAAAGCAGCAAGTCCGCAGTGAGCTAGCTACACAAGTAGACAGTAAAGCAAATGGTGATTTCAAGATTTAGGGAAACCAAACAAGTTCTTCACTACAAAGGGACCAATCTAGAAGGGGAAAATGATGATAAAAATCACTAGTAACTTGCAACCTGAAGATAACCATGTTTTATCATTTATGCATCTTGTTAATGCTGTCTATTATTCTGTTTCTGGAGTCTGGAACTGTGGCTGTATTTCCTCCCCAAACCAGCTGGAGGTTAAAATGTAATGAAAACCTGCTAGGCCACAACTAGAAGCATGGGACAATGCACAGTCAGATCAAGAGTGCCAGGCATCAGGTGTATAGGTACAGCACTTCACAAGACTTTGGAAACTACTATATGTGTATACACATAATAGTATTTTGTATTAAATAGTGAATAGTTCTGGATTTGTCCCGAGTCTCTATGGTTCATATGCGTGGCCGAACACTGGAAACAAGAGATGGGGGTGGGGTGGGGAGGGGCGTTCATTCCTGTAATCTCCTGCTCTCAGAGAGCTGAGACAGGAAGAGTACCACAACTTGCTAGCTGGGAAGGGCAATACAAAATATCCAAACCTGTCTCAAAACAAACAAACAAACAAACAAAACAAACAACAACAAAAAGCAAAGATGAAGAAAAAGGCTGGGAAGATGTAGGTAGGTCAATAAAGTATTTGCAATGTAAATGCAAGGAACTAAGTTCTGATCCTCAGTAAGTAGTAAGCTTATTCCTGCGAAGTGATGTGAAGCCCCTGCTCAATTCGCCCCGGGGTTCTGAGGTTCCTCCCTAAAATAAATTGGGGAAATACTGACGACAACGAATGCACGGTGACCTTTGGCTTCTGATGCAGCTCGTGAACTCTCACACACAGAAAAAGGAGACAGAAGGAAGGGAGAGACACGGCGAGGGCAAGGGGGGGGGGAGGAAAGGGGAGAAGAGAGTGAGAAAGAAAGAAAGGAAGAAAGGTCCAGACGCTGGCCCTGATACTCTGCTTCAACAGGTTCTGAAAAGAGGACAGTCTGAGAAACCCTGTCTTTCTTGAAGCCACTGCAGAGCCCGACAAACGCCCGGCTCCCGTCATGGGCAGGACTGACCCCAGCAAAAGGGGCGGCCCGGCGACCCGCAGCCAGGGAGTGGGCTCTGGACCTGTTGGCTGTGGCCGCTGGGTCACCACCCTTCCACGGGGAACAGGCGGCCGGCGACTCTCACCTAAGCGGCTTCTTGGAAAGCGGACACACGAGGAACTGCAGCAGCGCGGGGTGGAAGGTGCGGGGCTCCTCCGCTTTGTCGCTCCGGTCAGCGAAGGACCTGGCCCTAGGCGCCAGCAGATACCTCCCGGCGACCGCAGACGGTGCGCGCGGCCCCCGCAGCATCGGGGTGAGCCTGCAGCACGCGGTGACCAGCATGACCGCGCCGAACTCCAACGCCGCTCGCTTCCCCCGCACCGACCCGCCGGGTCACCCTGGCCAGGCCCCGCCCCCTCTGCGCTCTGCCGAATGCAGTCCCAGCACAGCCAGCGCTGCCGCTGTGGTTCCGGGAGCAGGACTGGCGTTCCGGAGTCAGTGACTGTGCCTTCGCTTTTACGAAACTGTGAACGAAACCACTGTTCATTCGGGTGTCCAACTTTTCTGTAAGGCTAATCACAGATGCCAAGGGCCGGACTCCGGTCACACAGTGCTAGGCTTCGACTCGCGGGGTTATCTTCAGAGTCTTCAAGCACAAGCGTACTGTGTTAGAAGCAACAGCTTGTTTAATGTTAATCCTTTTTCGGTTTCCGTCCCCATTCAGAAGTTTAAGAACCTGAGAAGAATGGCTTTGTTCTGGTACTCTGTAAGCCGTGAAGGCTTTTAAAACCTAGGTTTGTTAACTGTGACTACCGTGATAAAGCACAACTAATTCATTCCTGTAAGCCGACTAGCTCTTCTCAACCTGTGAGTGGAGACCTTGTGGTCCAGTGACTTTTTCGCACTGTCCATAGAAAAAATACAGTTTTGAAGTATAAATGAAAATAATTTTATGGTTGCGCGCGGGGGTTGGGGGGTTCACCACAACATAAAGAACTGTGTTAAAAGGTCACAGCATTAGGAAAGTTGAGACCCACAGCTGCAAGAAGGCTGTCTGGGAAAGGAAGCAGACATATGTCCCTTAGTCAAAGGGTCCACTAGCTTGGGTGTTGACTCCAACTTTGCATGGGTATGATGCCTGTTTGATTTTCCTTATACAGTTGGGAGGTAGGAGGTAGGCAAGAACTTGGGCCCAGACAGTTCCACATTTCTAAGCCAGACAACTCAATTTCCTCATTGCTATAATAAAATAATTCAATTTCCTTATAGGTATGCTAAGATCAATAACTGTCCTGACTATGAACTGAAGTTGGGGTGAGCATTGGGGGGAACCTTCTCTATTTAAGATTCTATAAGACTAGCCTGCCCTGTGGTGGTGCACACATTTAATCCCAGAACTCAGGAAGCAGAGGCTGCCAGGTCTCTGAGTTTGAGAGTGTGAGTCTAGCCTAAGCAACACAGAGGAACCCCGTCTCCAAACAAAAGAAAAAGATTCTACAAAGCTGGAGGACAGAATAGAACCCTTCATGATTGTGGAGAATTGGAATGTGCCAGGCCCTGAGCCAGATTCTCTTCAGCTGTCTTTAGATGCCTTCTTAGCCATTCACTGCCTACCTCAGCGTCTGACCTAACATTCCGTTGGAAATGTACTACCAGCCCACTGTCAGCTAATGTGAAAGAGAATCCCCAGAAGGAAGCTGTGCCTGCACAGACTGGCTGACCGGTTAGAGCTTCAGAGATGGGAAGAAGCTGGAAGGCCTCAAGTCCAGAGCCAATGTGTATTGGGAGCATCTTGAGCCCCCTTAGGAGCCACTTATTACTCTCCTCTGTACCATGACCTGACACCTTTGTGGCCAAAAGAATATATGAACAGAGCCCTAGTTTCCATCCATCAGAAGGATCTGCCAGACAACAGCTAGGGTCTATCACAGTTTTCCTTACTTGGCTGTAGCCCACCTGCTTGATGTACCCACTAATATATTTTTATGATCTTTAAAAAAAAACTTCTGATAAAAGTTCATAAAACTGCTAATGAGATAGGATTAGAAGGACATAGGTAGGCAGGAAAAGTGAAAATGGCTCCCTAAGATGGTGGCTTCTTCTTCCCAGACAAAAGTGGACTGGGCAGTAGTGGCACACACCTTTAATCCCAGCACTTGGGAGGGAGAGGTAGGTGGATCTCTGTGACTTTGAAGCTGGTCTGGCCTACAAGAGCTAGTTCCAGGACAGGCTCCAAAAACTACAGAGAAATACTGTCCCCCCAAAAATCAAAAAAAGGATAGCATAAGGGTATGTATTTAAACAGGACCAGTAGAGGAAAAGGAAGAACCCAAAAGCCTTATAAAACACCCAACTGAAGGTTTAGTGCATTCCCAGCTTCCGGGCTTCTCCATCCCAAAGGGAGCTCTTTGCAATAAAGCTGTCACTTTTGCTTTCTCCACAGCTCTGCCTTGTCTTTCCCTGACATTCAACTCCTTGTCATCCCATAGAATGAACTCAGAGACTCTCTAAATGACTACCAGCACCCCATTACATCTCTTGGAGGTTCGCCTGTGATTTGAGAAGACCTCTACTCAAGATAGCTATATCTTACTAAAAATTACAATGGACTCAGAAGTGGTCATGATCTTCTGGCACTCCGAGGGCCTCTTTGGAGTGAGGGAACCCTGTGACCATGATTAACATGGTTTGAACCCCAGGTCAACCCCCACCTCCACTGGGAGTAAGGAGAGTAGGGCGATCTGGCTCTGATACAAGAGCACGCTTTGAACTCAGATGACTAAATGGAGTCTTCTCCTTCAAAAACTAGGGCGGGACAATCAGAACTCAAGAGATATTGCAAACTGAACCCCGAGAAAGCAAGCATGTTTCCAGAGAGGGAAGAGGGCAGATTTCTCACTTGATAGACCTGGAAAGGTCTGTGGGGAAATAATTTCTTGATTGATCCCCTAGCTTTTGAGCCCCCGAGAATGAATGGACGAGTGTAGGCCCCTGGGGATAGGCTGTCTGGGGGGAAGGAGCAACTCACTCAGTTCTCTGTTTCTCAAGCCGCTCTAGCACATAGTGAGTCCTGAAGATTTCTGATGTACTGAAAAGAAAGTGATGGCAAGCGTGCCTTGGAAGTGGGTCGTGCCTGGAATCCAAGTGGGGGCAGCTAAGAGTGAGCTACTGTGTAGGAAATCTTTTCTGGCTGCTGGCACTTCTTTGGGGCCTTAGCTGCTGTGGTGAACCCATATGGCT